GGCGGCGGAGGCTGTTGCTGCTGCTGCTGCTGCTGCTGCTGCTGCTGCTGCTGCTGCTGCTGCGGAACTCGCCGAAGCGCCCCCTGCCAAGTCCTCCTCCAGCCCCGGCGGCGGCAGCGGACCCGTCGGCTGCCGGATCAGCAGCCGCTCCCTTATGCTCACGGGGGGGCCCCCGGGGGCCCCCAGCGGGGCCCCCAGCGGGGCCCCCAGGGGGGCCCCCAGGGGGGGGCCCCCCGCCGCGGGGGCCCCCACCGGCAAAGAAGTAGTCACGGCCACGCCAGGGGGGCCCCCAGGGGCCTCCTCCACCACCACTGCTGCTGGAAGCCCCAGCTGGGCGTCCAGCGCTGCTGCTGCTGTTGCTGCTGCTGTTGCTGTTGCTGCCAGCGAAGACGTCGGCGGCTGCTGCAGCAGCACCTGCTGCTCCTGCACCACGGGCTGCGTGCACATCGTCTCCGTCACCACCTGCAGCAGCAGCAGCAGCAGCACCAGCAGCAGCAGCAGCAGCAGCAGCAGCAGCAGCAGCAGCAGCAGCGCTGATATCGCCGCAGCAACCACGCCAAAACAGCAGCAGCACCACCAACGCCAGCAGCACCCCCTTCCCCCCAACCCCCACCATCACCAGCAGCAGCAGCAGCAGCAGCAGCACCCCTTTCCCCCCAACCCCCACCATCAGCAGCAGCAGCAGCAGCAGCAGCAGCAGCAGCAGCAGCAGCAGCAGGACCTGTGGGGTGGCGTGGACAGTCTCGTCGACGAGGACGAGGGGCTGTGGCCCGTCTGCGGAGACAGCGGGGAGGTGGAGGTGTGGGGTTTTGAGGTTTTTTTTTTGTCTCCGAAGTTCTTCTTTGTGTCTCCTTTTGAGGGCCCTTTTGTCTTCCTTCGCCATTTGCTGCTGCAGCCGCTGCTCCGCCTTCCGCACTTTCTTTGCGTCTTTCTTCGCCAACTTCAGCATTTTCTTTTGTCTCCTTTTTTCCTCTTTGAACATTTTCCTGTCGCTCCTGCTCAAGCAGCTCAACCGGGGAGGATAGGCTGGAGAAGGGGGCCCCAAGCTGTGGTTTGCTGCAGCAGCAAACGTCCGGGGGGCCCCCCGGGGGGGCCCCCCGGGGGGGCCCCCCGGCGGGCCCGCAGGGGGGCCCCCTGCGGGGCCCCCGGGGGGGCCCCCGGGGGGGCCCCCCCCGGCGCCGCCGCCCTCCTCGGGCCAGGACCCCAAGGGGGGCCCCCCCCCGCTGCTGGGCGGCCCGCGGGGCCCCGGGGGGCCCCCCGACGGGCTTGACCACTGGGGGCCCCCCGGGGGGGCCCCTCGGGGGCCCCCAGAAGAGCCGTGCGGGGGCCTTGCGGGGGGCCCCTCCTGGGTGTCCTCCTGCGCGTCCCAGAGGCTCTCCAGCGACACGGTTCGGGGGCCCCCCCGGGGGGCCCCCCAGAACGGCGGGGGCCCCCCCGGGGGCCCCCCCGGGGGCCCCGAAGCCGCGGGGGGGGCCCCCAGGGGGGCCCCCAGGGGGGCCCCCAGGGGGGCCCCCAGGGGGGCCCCCAGGCCCGGGGGGCCCCCCGGAGAGCCGCCGGACTGCAGCAGCACGGGAGATGAGGGAGAAGCTGCTGCTGCCAAGGGAGAAGGAGCTGCAGCAGAGTGGCAGGGGGCCTGCAGAAACATCCGGGAGTGGG